GATTTTTTTAAAAAGAATCTCACTCTTTCTTGCCATCTTTCAACAATTGTTTCGCTAGCTGCCGCTCTTTTTCTAGACAATTCTCCTTCCGTTTCACCATTTGTTTCATCTTGTCCCTCTGCGTTTTTAATGCCAGAATTGCGTTGTCCTGATCCGACACTGGCGCTGATTTGGGCGCTTTCTCTTTTTTCGAAAATATTCCTCCCATTTTTCTGGAATTTTTCGGTAATTTTTAGGCTGAAAAAGCGAAAAAAACGGCTGAAAATGACGCGAGAACGATGAATCAATATTTGCACTCTCTCCGCGTAAATCGACACGAGGCCCGTGGACGAGGAGGCGCCTGGAGAAAGCTAGTACGCGTCCAGCCGATCGGTGATTTTCGAATGACCCAAAATTTCCTTTGGGGACCAAATAGCTTTTTATAACGATTTTGATAGTTTGCCACGTTTCTTGTCGATTTTTATTGATAATATCAGTTCCCAGCAGAGATATCAAAAAGTTGTCAACTAATAAAATGTTTTACATAAAATTTCGCACATTATACTAGTTGACATTTTTTTTATATCTCTGCGGTGAACGAAGATAATTGAGGAAACACCTTAAACCCTGTATCAAAAGTTTGACTCAATTTTTCTCGTTTCCTATGACAGATGATAAAAAGACATCAACTGATAAAAAGTTTATCATAATATCCGAAACATTTTGTTAGTGGACAACTTTTTGATATCTCTTACAGGAATCGAGATAAATTGAGTCTCAAAATGTATCTCAAATAGCTTAAAATGCCATAAAAAACAAATTGAGTTTCAAAGGAATCGAACTTTTGCGTCTTCTGCTCCAAGTTCATCCCTCTTATCCACTGCGCCATCACCGCGCGCTAAGGCGCCCCCCTGGGCGCAGCGGTAGCTCAAAGCGCGCGATGTCTCAATGGCGCAATGGGTAAGAGGGATGAACTTGTAGCTGAAGACCTAAGAGTTCGATTCCTTTGAAACCCAATTTGTTTTTTATGGCATTTTTAGCTATTTGAGATACATTTTGAGACTCGAAACCGACTACTCAAATTCTTCTTCTATAACTTCCTGGGGCTCATTTCTCCAGACTCTGCCCTTCTGACCGACTCACGCATTTAAGTGGATTATCATCCCCTCCTCAAAAAGGCGTCAAGTACTTGAGGGCTCTTTCTGAGGAGCACAGAAACCGAAAACAAATAGTGAAGATCGAACGCGTTTTGTTTCTGTTTCAAAATCTATATGAATTTTTGCTGCTGTGGTCATCAGTGTTCTTTGTATTACGGTTTCGACCATTATTTACCGTAACGATTAGTACGGTAGACGGAGAAGAAGAACTGAAGAAGAAGAAGAAGAAGAGCCGGTTTTGGAACACCGAATAGCCTTATGTGGTCGTTTTCGACTAATTTGGGTCTATACTTTTGCACTGTTACCGTAATCCTAGTACGTTTGGTAATTCTGAATTTCTGAATTTCTGAATTTCTGAATTTCGGAATTTCTAAATTTCTGAATTTCTGAATTTTGGGATTTTTCTCACTAAAATCATCTAATCAGCTAATCACTTTCATTTTCCTCCCTGATCATATATCAGTGATATCGTTTACATTACAAAAAAAAAATCAGCTTATCACTTTCTCTTTTTTAATTCTTCTTTTTTTCGTTTGAATCGATCCATTTTTCTTGATTATTAAAGATTTTTTTCATCTTTTCAACACTTTTTTTTTGTTAAAAATCGCAAAAAGTTTCAGTAGAAGTACTTATTTTTTCAATTATGCTATTTCAAAAAATCTCGTTATTTCCCAATTTCCGTTTCAAATTTAACCAATACTCAATTGGCTCAATTTTAGAAACAACTCAAAACCATCCCTCTTACCCACTGCGCCATCACCGCGCGCGCTTAGGCGACCCTTTGGGCGCCGCGGTAGCTCAAAGCGCGCGCTGTCTTGGTGATGCAGTGGGTAAGAGGGATGAACTTGGAGCAGAAGACTCGAAAGTTCGATTCCTTTGAAGCCCAACTTGTTTTTACTAACATTCCTACGTATTTGGAATGCATTTTTAGGTCCCAAACTTCAAATTTTCGTAATTTTTTTTCGTTTTTCACCTGAAAAATTTTGTTCTTTGTTCGTTTTTTTTCCTCTTCTGAATCCTTCTAGTTCATTCCAATTCCCGTTTTTAATCTCTCTCTCTCTCTCTCCTTCTTACTTCAGTAATTATGCTGCTATAGAAAAGGAAAAACGATTCATTTTTCAATTTTTCTTCTAGTACGTACTTCTTGTATGAAGTTCGATTTTTTTAGAAATTAGAAATTCCTAAAATTTACAATAATTGAAAATTGCGAACCTCCAAAAATCGGGAAATCAAAATCCTGAATGTTGAAAGTGCGCTCTACTGCTAAAAAATCTTGCCTCTCTCTCTCTCTCTCGTTCTCTCTTGCCTTAAGTTGTTAAATTAACTACAATGCTATGATATCCCGATCAACCAAATCAAATCCAAAGTTTTTAAAAATTCCAAATCCAAAAGAATTGTTGATCTCTTTTCTTTTTTGTTCCCTTTTTTTCCCATTTTCCTGTTAGCGATAATTCCCCCCCCTAGGAGACAAAAAGGTGTTCCGGGTGTATGCTGATAGGCGTATTTCTCTCCCATTTACCCGTTTGTTTCCGCGCTCGCGAGAAATGTGTCAAATTTGTTTGTTTTGCCACAATCAGTGATATCTTTTCCCATTGGCTCTGGTCACTTTGGCTCATTTTTCTCTTCTTCTGAATTTGCCAATTTTTGAGAGAAACCATTTCCGGTTTTGCTTTTTTCGAAATTTTTAGGGGAACCAAAAAGTTTGAACAGCTCCTCAAGCTGCTCAAGAACTAAATATCTGGATTTTTGATTTTGACCAAACAAAGTAGCTGAATTTCAAGAGTTTTCTTGTAAAGTTAGATTGTCTTAAACTTGTCTGAAATTTTTAGAGTACACTAAACGAAAGTTGCGCTATATTTTTGTAGTTGACAACTTTTTTGTGAATTAGGTCCCTTAGGAGATATGCCACGTGGAATGGAGCCTCTCCCTCCCACCTCAAGGGCTTACAAAAAAGGTAGGCTCTCTTCCTCATGGCATACCTCTCCAGGGCCTAATTTCACAAAAAAAGTTCTCAACTACAAAAATAAAGCTCTAGTTTTGACTAATATAGTCTGAAATTTTCATAATGACCTGACAAATACTAACTTAAACAGAGACTTTTGAAAATCTGCTACTTTTTTGTCAAAATGAGCTTTTGTGGTCATTTTTTAAAGGCTTCAAAATGCAGCTCTATTTTGTTAGATTTGTCTGAAATTTTAGGAGTATATTAAACAAAACTAGAGCTTTATTTTTGTAGTTGACAACTTTTTCGTAAATTTCGAGCCTGAAGAGATATGTCCCGTGGAAGAGAACATTGCCACATGAAGGTGCACCGCCCTTTTTTTTAGGGGGCGTTATGGAAGGTGAAGCACCAAAAAGAATGGTCCCTTCCTCATGGCATATCTCACCAGAGGCTAAATTTACAAAAAAGTTGTCAACTTCGAAAATGAAGCTCTAGTTTCGTTTAGTATATTCTGAAAATTTTAGATTGATCTGTCAAATACTAACTTTACTCGAAGACTTTTGAAAATTGGATCCTTTTTTTTGTCAAAACGAATTTTTGGGGTCTCATTTTTGGAAGGCTTCAAAATGCGGCTCAAATTTGTTCGATTTTTCTGAAAATTCCAGAGTTCAGGTGGCAAGGAAGGAAAGCCTCTTCCACGTGGCATATCTCTTTAGGCTCAATTTTCCTGAAATTTTAGACAAATTCAACAAATTTGAAGTAGGAAAATTGACTTTTAAAAATGACTACCACCCATTTTTCCTTCAATTTGAAACAAATTTTCAAGAAAAAGACCCCAATTTTTTTCCGTTTCAGAAATGTACCCGAATGACAAAGGATCATCCGGAGGGAATGCAACTCGAACAACTTTCGAGACACGGAGCCGTCGAAAACGGCTCATGCAGGTGGCTGTGACAATTGCCAGTGTCCTTTTGCTCCTGTTGGCAGGTGAGCAATTTTTTTTTGGTATTCAAAGAATCTCAATTTTTACATAAAACTCTCAAGGAGACCTTCAACGTTGTCAAAGGCTCTGAACCTCAAAAGTCCCAAAAATCGTATTTTTGGAAATTTTGAAATATCTTCTAAAACATCAAAAATCTCAAAATCTTCATTGGCAAGAGAGTTCCACTAATCGTGTTGCACAATTTTGATTCTCGTATTCGACATTTCGATTTTTTCCACCACACGATAGTAGCAGTCCTCATCATAAGCACCTCCATCGTGCACAACGTATTCTTGTCCTGAAAAAGGGCATGCTGAATTTGAGCCGATTTATCTCGTTTTCTGTAAAAGATAGAAAAAAGTGGTCAAATGATAAAATGTTTATCATAAAATCAGAAATATTTTGTTAGTTGATCACTTTTTGGTATCTTTGTCAGGGACCGAGATAAATTGAGTCGAAGTTGATAGGGTTTTTTTTAACTTGAAAAATGATCCAAACAGCTGGAATTGCCATAAAAAAACAACCTGGGACCTAAAGGAATCGAACTTTTGGGTCATCAGCTCCAAAACCATCTCTCTTACCCATTGCGCCATTAAGACACCGTGCGCCCTGAGCTACCGCGGCGCCCAAGGGGCGCCTAAGCGCGCGGTGATGGCGCAGTGGGTAAGAGCGATAAACTTGGAGC